AGGATTAGAAGATATATAGCATAGGGAAAGTCTGCTGTCAGGGACTTCTCCTGGGTCCTGAAGAGCAAAGGTGTCGTTTTGAAGACCAAGAAGTGCCCGATTCAAGCTATGGTCTTACTAATCACCAGCTATGGACGTGAGAGTTGAATAAGGAATAAGGGTGACAGAAGAAGAATTGATAGCTTTGAGTTGTGAGGTTGTAGAAGAGTACTCTGTAGCCCATGGCCTCCCAAATGAACAAACAGCTATGTCTTAGGAAAAGCCCAAACAGAGGCCAGGATGGTGAAGATTCACCTCACATACTCTGGACATGGTGTTAGAAGCTATTCTTTAAAAAGGGACATCAAGCTTGGAAAAGTGGAGGGTCAATAAAAGAGAGGAAGACCATAAATAAGATGGATTGATACAGTAATTGTGGCAATGGGCACCAGTGTGTTGGTGGTGACGAGAATGGTACAAGATTGAACAGGGATCAGATCTGTGGTTCATGGTTCATACAGTCTCTATGAATCATACTTGACTCGGTGGCATGTAACAACAACATAAACTGGTAATCACAAAGCACGTCATACTGGAGAAATAATTTAGAAAGAAAAAATTTATTACCATTGAGTAAGAACTGATTCATAACTGACCTTTTATTTATCAGGTTTCCAAAACTATAAATTATATGAGAAGAGATGGTTCATATTTCTCCTTTGGAGTGTCTGCTGGATTTGAACCACCAAAAAAGCTTGACCTGCATTATCAGTGCAACTCCCTCCTTACTGACAGACACCACTACCACAGCTCCTTGTAAAAAGAAAAGCCTAGGGAAAAATTATTCTCCTTGTTTTTATTGAGAGGTAGAGGGTTCTGACAATAGTATCGCTACCATCATTTTGTTCCAAGTGCTAGAAGTAGATGAAAAGAAAAAGAATTTTCTTAAACTCCTAATTTGAGATGAAAGCAATAGCCAATGAATGGACACTGGGCTATGAAAAATACAAACGAGTTTCAATGTAAGCTATATTTTTACTACCTGTATGGCATAGGGCAAACTACTTATAATCCTTCTGTGCTTTAGTTCCAAGTTCTATAAAGTAGAAATAACTTCTTAAGGCTGCATGAAAAATGACTGAGATGTAAATGATACCCAGTAAGTGATCAACAAGTATTTTACAGTTAATTAATACATGTAAAAACTCCATTTTCTTTTTATGTAGTAAATATCTCATTTCCCTGTGCCTTCAACTTTCCTTTCCAGTCTAGAACCCCTTTGTAAGGACACACTGTCATCATCCTCTGGAATGTGTTAGTTCCAAACCTGAGCACCTAATAGCAAGTGCTATTCTCTTCTCTTCCCTCTTTGAAGAGGAAACAATACTTCTGCCAATGCTGTGAAAAAAAAAACGTGAAATTAGAGAAGAGATGGAAAGAAATCTTCCAATTACCATCTCCAGGATTAGGATACATCATCTGAAGATTCAAAATTCAAGACTCTGATTTAGAGATTTATTTCAAGCGGAGGAGTCACAGGATCAAATGTAATACATCAAATTGTGTTTCTTCATGTTCTTTAGATAATGCTGTGAAGTACATGATGTTTCTAGGTGCCCAACAACACCTACAGTTGACTAAGACCCATAGCGACCCAGCAGAAGAGAACACTGTCCTATCCTACACTATCTTCGCGATGTCTATGATGTTCAAGCCCATTCCTGCAGTCACTTCAACACCTGTTTTAGGGTCTTCCTCCCTTTCAGTGACCCTCTACCATTCTTAGAATGTCTTTTTCCAAGTAATGATCCCTCCTGACTATATGCCCAAAGTACGTAAGATCAAATTTTACCATTTTTGCCTTTAAGGAATACCCTGGTTGCACTTTCTCCAAGATTTGTTTTGTTCTTTTTGGCTGTCAGTAGTATATTCAATACTCTTCTCCAAAGCTATACTTCTAACACATTAATTCTTCCTCAGCCTTCCTTATTCATTGCCCAAATTTCATGTACACAAGGATGTTGTTATGTGCTGTCAAGTCACTTGCAACTCATAGCCACCTTATGTACAACAACCCTGAAACATGCTCTATCCTGTGCCAACCTTATTGTCTCTGAAAAACTTGCTTTCATTACCTTAGTCACTGAATCAATCCATCTCGTCGATGGTCTTCCTCTGTTTCCCTGTCCCCCCACCCTTCCAAGAAT